CACCAGCAGTGCAAAAGAGACCCTTTCTCCGCATCCTCGCCAACATCTGTTGTTGCCTGAGTTGTCAATGTGAGCCATTCTGACAGGTGTCAGGTGGTATCTCATTGTGGTTTTGATTTGTATTTCCCTGATGATGAGTGATGTTGAGCATTTTTTCATGTGTCGGTTGGCCATCTGGATGTCTTCTTTGGAGAAGCGTCTGTTCATGTCTTTTGCCCATTTCTTCACTGGATTATTTGTTTTTTGGGTGTTGAGTTTGATACGATCTTTATAGATTTTGGATACTGACCCTTTATCTCATACGTCACTTGCAAATATCTTCTCCCATTCTGTCGGATGCCTTTCAGTTTTGCTGATTGTTTCCTTTGCTGCGCAGAAGGTTTTTATCTTGATGAGGTCCCAATAGTTCATTTTTGCTTTTGTTTCCCTTGCCTCCAGAGACATGTTGAGTAAGAAGTTGCCGTGGCCAAGGTCAAAGAGGTTTTTGCCTGCTTTCTCCTCGAGGATTTTGATGGCTTCCTGTCTTCGTTTAGGTCTTTCACCCATTTTATTTTGTGTCTGGTGTAAGAAAGTGGTCCAGCTTCATTTTTCTGCGTGTCGCTGTCCAGTTTTCCCAGCACCGCTTGCTGAAGAGACTGTCTTTTTTCCATTGGATACTCTTTCCTGTGCTGTTGAAGTCTCTTATCTGATGGTCCTCCACTTCCTGTTCTAGATGACAAAGACACCGGCCCAGTCTTGCTTCACGGCTTCCCCCTCCACACCTCCCGTGGCCTGGGCTTCACCGCAGAAGGAGGGAGGTAAGGGCCCAATGGCCTCTCCCTACAGACCCTACCCTGTGGCTCATTTTTTTCTCATTTGAAACATCATCTTTATCACAGTCTAAATTCCCATGTGATCCCCTTCACTGCAAATACCAGAACATCCAAACTGGCTTAAAGAATTTCTTGAAAGAGTGGTAGCTCATGAGACAGGGAGCCCCGAGGCGGGGCGAGTTGATTTAGTGACTGTGAGATTCGTCCCTGGCTGTGCTGTCACTGTGATCACAGGACAGCAGAGCTGGGACCCGAACCCGGGCAGTGGACTCCGCAGGCCAGCCTTCTGGGGAGACTGTGCCTCCCTGAGAGGTGACAGATGACTGAGTCTCCCACTCTTGTCGATCTATGTGCATTTTCTGTTTCCTGTAGTCTTTGGTTTATGGTCTGGGGCACAGACAGCACCAGTGAGGCCAGACGACACAGGATTCCTCATTCCCGCTGTCCTAATATGAACCCACTGACAGGACTCGGCGGCCAGCTGAGAGGCACGGGGGCTGGTTCCCCAGACAGCGTCGGAGCCTCCAAGACCTCCAGGATCGAACCTGTGACTCACGAGTGTTCTGACCCAGCCAACCTGCTATAAAGGCAAGTCTTTTTAAAACGTGCCGCCACTCAGGAACAACGAAAATCGCATTTAGTGGCCTTTACGATGTGCCCGTCACTCCCAGACACGACACCGCGTCTCTGAGTCTTGCGAAGCCCTGGGCTGGGGGGGGGGGGGGGGGCTTCTCAGGCGAGAAGGGAGG